TGAGTTTTTACTAAGTGGGGTTTGGTTATTTTGTTTGATTTGTAAGAATGAGAAAGGAATAGGGCAGTGGAGTTTTTTCTTCTGCTATGGAGTCTGCATTATCAGGTATTAAGGGTTTATTTTTATTTATTTTTTATGGGGTTGTTGTATTTTACTGTGTAGAGCTGATGATGGGTGATGGGCATGTCTAATGTTTTATTGGTGGTGGGTTTTGTCTCTTTCCTCTGGGTGTTTTTAAAAAAAATTTGAACTTGATATACTCTTGTTAGTTTTTTTTATTATATGATTTAGGTCCTTAAAGTTTTGTACTTGACAATGTAAGTTGAGTTTAGAGTACATTTGGATCAGCTTGATTTCTCTACTTGTTTCTTCATAGATAAATTTCTCCACTACATGTTTTATAAGCAGCTAGGAAAGATCCTATCTGTGTTTTAAGTAACAACAACATCAACGTATCCGGTGTAGTTACCCAAGTGAGGTTTGGGGAGGGTAATGCGTACACAGACCTTCTATCTGTGTTTTATGCTTAAAGTGCAGTCATTTTTCTTATTTCTGATGCAAGAGAAGCTTGAGCATACTTAGGCTGACTATAGACTATAGAGTATGCAAGTGATATAAGGATGTGGCAGTTCCGTTATGGTGGAGAATTGGCAGCAACCACATAAAGAAGGATGCAATATTATGTTGATAAGCTAATGGTTTTTTTGGTTCATTTAGCATGTTATACAAGAAACCAAATTAGAAAAAGAAAGAATGAATCTAATGCGGTGTTGATTGATCACATTAACAACGTTTCATCCTTGGTGAAAGGAGGGTATTTGGTAGAGAACTAGAGAGAACCCAATTATCTTGATCACCTATGAGCGATAAAGATTATCAAATAGGGAAAATTTCTCTTGAATGGTGTTAGCTAGGGTGCATTAGCTAATGGACTTGTGGACATAGGATATCACATAGCTAACTTTTGTCTTAAGAGCTTTCCTTTTTTTCAATAACAACTTCTGGCTTGGCATTGTGGAACTGGGGAGTTTGGTAGTTTCTTCCTTTAAATTGTTAATATCATACTTGTATTATGTAAACACGTGGAGAGAGGGGTAGTGGTGCAGTTTGCTAGCACATAGGTATCACAGCTTCTGAGTGATTTTGAATTGACGAGTTTGACCTATCTCACTTCAATCAACAGTTTGGCGTTGAGGTGTAGTTGATTGATTTATACACTTGTAAAGATACATACTAGCTAACTCATAAATACACATCTTCATAAGTTCTTATGATTAACGTTGTGCAGGAACAATTTTCACCGTGGCATCTGTTAATTTGACCTGATAAATCTCGAGTGGCTTTGACTACCAGATTCTTTACAGAAGTCACCCCTTTATATTCTAGATCTGTATAGTTTTGCTTTTTCACTGTTCTGTTTCACTATACTTGGGATATCTCAGTGTGCTAAAACACATGATAGTTCTAGTAACAATCAAGAGGGTAGGTACATGTATTTGAAGTTGAATTGTGATGCTCAAATTTGATTTAATTAATACCGAGGTCCCTTTTCAGGTCTCGTTCTCGATCCCTATAAATTTAGCCAATTGAGTATGGAAGATAAAAGGCAATTAGTACATGAAATTTCCCAATGCCCTGAAGATGCGCCGAAGATCTTGAGTTCACTGACCAGAAAAGAACTTCTAGAGATTATATGTGCTGAGATGGGCGAAGAGAGAAAATACTCTGGCTACACAAAATTCAAAATGATAGATCACCTTTTAAAGCTGGTTTCCTGTAAGTCTAACACAGATACTGGTCCTACCTTCAAAAGGCAGCGGACGCAAGAATATCAATGTCAACCTTTCGTTCAGAATGATGAAGTTAATCGGGAGATGGAAAGCAAAACCCAGGTCCTACTCTGTCATAATCTGGTATGTAGAGCTACTCTTGAAAGAGATGATGTTTTCTGCAAACGATGTTCTTGCTGCATTTGTCATCAGTACGATGATAATAAAGACCCTAGCTTGTGGTTAACCTGTGATTCTGATTCTCAAGATGAAATTAAGCCATGTGGATTGTCATGCCATCTAAAATGTGCACTTGAGCACGAACAATCAGGCATATTGAAGAATTGCATCAATCCAAATTTGGATGGAGATTTCTATTGTGTTTCTTGTGGAAAAATTAACGGGCTAATGAGGTATTTACTTCTCTTTAACCCGTAACATATGTGTGTTTAGCAGAAAGGTAGATCCAGGAATGTGGATTGTACATGGTAGTTCATTTTTCTTTACCATGTTTTGCTCCAACGGTGATTTTCTTGCTACCACTGATCCCTCATCTGCATGCTCTTTTCCTTTTGGAAATGTGTGCCTGTCTGTATTAGGAAGTAATGGACCTTATATAACATCCTCGTTAACACAGAAGATATATAAAAAGCTGTGGAATGGTCTGTAGTTTCTGCTAATGGCTATATTTTTGCCCAAAAAAAAGTCTGATGGGGAACGTTTCTGTGTGTTCACATCAGCAGAGGAAAATGTCAATTTTAATTTATTTATTTTGCTTTCAATGCGTATCTTTTTAGTAATCCAAACAAATTTAATGGCAATTTTTTTTTTTAATTCGATGATTTATCTCACACACAATAAAAACTAACCTGATAGTAGTTGTTTTAGAACCTTGAGAAAACAATTGATGACAGCAAAGGAGGCGAGAAGAGTTGATGTACTGTGTTTAAGAATCTCTCTGAGCCATAAAATCCTAGAGAAAACTGAGAAATACAAAGGACTGCTGAAAGTTGTTGAATTGGCTGCTGAGATGCTGAAGAACGAAGTAGGGCCTCTTGCACAGGCATCAGAGAAAATGGATCGCAGGATAGTGAACAGGCTTTCTTGCGGTACTGCAGTTCAGAATCTGTGTGGCTCTGCAGTGGGCACTTTTGATTCCATGTTTCAGAATCAATTCTCTAGTCATACGAAAAAGGAAGAGACTCTGATGTGTGAGTATTCTTAGTCAATTTATTATTGAATATCTGCATGTCAATAGCTCTACTACTGTTTACTTCTGGAAAAACACAGACCTGGAAGGAAACAAGTTACGATAGTGTAATGTTTGACAAGGAAGTCTCGCATTTATCATTGCAATAGTGTCTTCTTTGTTCAAGTTTAAACTTTGAATTTCATATTGTGGGATATTTGTAGAGTTCTATGAAATAATACCGAAGCTTTTGCAAGAAGTTCCAGCCACACAATTAAAGATATATTTCTATTTTCATGAGAATCTGGAAGCATGCAGGCCTAACTGATATGTTATCGTTGTCTTCTTCATCTTTCTGTTCTGCGTACATTACTTATTCTGCACAGGACTATATCTGTGCACTACTGATTTCACCTTTTGCTTTTATTGAACACTCTTGACAGCTTGCCGGATACATTTTGAGGAGCAATCTCCATCTAAAATAACGATTGTCTTTGAATATGATGATTGTATGCTGAAAGAACTTATGGGCTTCAAATTGTGGTATCGGAAGTCCACAACAAACAAATATCCTGACGAGGCAACTTTTATTGCACTAAGCCCTGTGAAGAAATTTAAGCTGGATGGTCTTGATCCTTTGACACAGTACTTCTGCAAGGTTTCTTTCTTCAACAAGGCAGCGACTTTGGGGGTTCAGGAGGTGAATTGGGTTACACCTGCTGTACAGACAAGCTACAAGTCAGGTTCAGATAATGCTACTATAGATAGTACACTGATGCATGCTGAGTCAATGAGTTCTACTGACCACAAACTAACAACTTATGATCCAAAACCATGCTCCCTGAATGACATTGAAAGCCAAGCTAATGCATTTCCTATATCCCCTCTTCCCAAGATGCACATTCCTTTACCTAGTCCACTTTCAAGTGCACCTGCCACACCTTGCCAAACTAATGGATCAAAGGAAGTGCAATTGAGTGGCATTGGACAAGTGAAGGTAAGTGATTATGAGTACTCTGTAGGGATCATCAAGAAGTTGGAACATGAAGGGCTCATAGAAACAGATTTCAGAGTGAAGTTCTTGACTTGGTTCAGCTTGAAAGCCACGACACAAGAAAGAAAGGTTGTTCGAGTCTTTATAGACACCTTTGTCGATGACCATTCAAGTTTGGCAGGACAACTCATGGATACATTCATGGATGAGATATGCTGGGAGCAGAAAGTTGACCTACATGCAATCTACAGTAAATTCTGGCATTAAACAAACATCTACTTTCTGAAATTAGCTAGGGGATAAAATTTGCACAGTTGATTCGATGCTACTAACCAATCTTTGACAACTTATGCTCTGAAACTTATTCTTGTGAATCATATCCATAGCTGTTATCGCTAGAGATAAAAGAGAGGTGAATCTGTTTTGTGCATGAAACTCAATCTTGAAGTAAACCTGTTATCTGAACAGGCTTTGATGTTATTGAAGGATAACATTTCCAGAAAGATGGAAACCTTTTTCATGAACCAAATGTTTGTGGATACAAGTAATTAGGGGAGAAATGTAATCACTTTATCAGAAGAAAAAAGAAAAAGAACTAGGGGAGAAATATTAAGATAATTTTTTTGGATCCAAATATGACCATGAAGGATATGTTTCTATTAAAAAAATAGATCATTTTCTGGATGTTTGGTTACTGAAAATGCTTTCTCACTAGCCCTTTTCCTTACAACTATCTAACTTGGAACTTTATTACTTGCTCAAACTAATATTAGACATTATTATTAATCTCTAGTACTAATTTTTTTTTCAAAACACTATCAGATTTGCTAGAATTGTGTTACTACTCGTTAATATATATACTTTTTCAAAAAATATTTCACTCACTTACCAAACACAATTTTTTGAAAAATATTCTCCATAAAAAGTAACTTCCACCGTACCAAAGACAAACATAATCTTCTTCCAATATCAATGTAATTTCTTTGGTAAATGAAACAGGAACCAATATCTGTACTCTGAGTTCACAGTTCCAAAAAGAAATCAAACCTGAGTGCATAAAATCTGTTTCACTCCAAGGATATCAAGAGCTGGTCAATATTGACATGGATTGGAACTTATTAGGCGTCGATGATAGCTTAAAATGAGCAGGAAACTATACAGATTTGGTTTGGACTATAGCTGAACTTACTATTTGCAGAAACTACAGGAGTATAAGACATAAAAATAACTAAAAAGTTCAAGCATCAAAAGCTTTATGTGTTAGATTGATTATTCACAGTGTCTTCGCCAGCTGCTTCATTGAATGCGGCAGCCAGATATTCAGCGAGGCTTTTCTGGGGAGTGGATTTTGTTGGAGTCTCTCCAAGTTTAGCCCTTTTTGCACTGATGGAGTTGGGAAGGCAGGATTTCAGACAGTCCTGTGTATCGCCACGTGGCTTCCAAATAACCGGCATCAATGCTTTCCATGGGTCTTCCACCATTGACTTATGATAGTAAAATTTGAATCTACCCTTGCCTCCTCTTGAACCTTGGTAAGCCTTGCTTCTGAATCCTGAACCTTGGTAGGGGCTACCTTGCCCATATTGACTACCAGCTCCACTAACTTGAGGAGAACCATGGCTGGAAACGCCACCAATTTGCGGTGAATTAGGCAAAGAGTAGTTGTTAGGTGTGCCAAGAGAGCTATCCAAAGTGGAGTTCCCCGGTGGGGTGCAAAAGGGATTAGTTTTCCTACGGATTCCAAGAGGAATGGCATTGACTCCTCGTGGCCGATACGTTCTTTGAGCCGAGTTATAGTTGCATTGAGCATGATAAACTGGAGAACCATCATTCATAGGTCCTGAAAAAAAAAAGATTAGACAAGGGTCTAGATTGATATGTGAGAAATATATGAAAAAAATATTATTGAATTGTTGTTGTGTCTACATTATTACATTGAGATCCGACACTAGAATACAATCCTTTACCAAGTAGGATACTATTTACTATTCCTATTTCTATTTGTATTCTTATTCCTATTCTAAATAGGATTGTATAAACTATAAACCTATTCCTATTCTAATAGGATTGTATAAACCTATTCATGTTCTAATAGATTGTATAAACCTATTCATGTTCTAATAGATTGTATAAACCTATTCATGTTCTAATAGATTGTATAAACCTATTCATGTTCTAATAGATTGTATAAACCTATTCATGTTCTAATAGATTGTATAAACCTATTCATGTTCTAATAGATTGTATAAACCTATTCATGTTCTAATAGATTGTATAAACCTATTCATGTTCTAATAGATTGTATAAACCTATTCATGTTCTAATAGATTGTATAAACCTATTCATGTTCTAATAGATTGTATAAACCTATTCATGTTCTAATAGATTGTATAAACCTATTCATGTTCTAATAGATTGTATAAACCTATTCATGTTCTAATAGATTGTATAAACCTATTCATGTTCTAATAGATTGTATAAACCTATTCATGTTCTAATAGATTGTATAAACCTATTCATGTTCTAATAGATTGTATAAACCTATTCATGTTCTAATAGATTGTATAAACCTATTCATGTTCTAATAGATTGTATAAACCTATTCATGTTCTAATAGATTGTATAAACCTATTCATGTTCTAATAGATTGTATAAACCTATTCATGTTCTAATAGATTGTATAAACCTATTCATGTTCTAACTGATACTACATAAACACAAAGAATAGCATAGTGATTATTCCACATCATGATTAACCAAAGGTATTACATCAAAAAACATTCCAAACCAGACCTACTACCTTCTGTTAAAAGGTTTGCCTCAAAATCATCAGATTCAAGATTCATATTCCTCATTTTTCATGCTAATTGGATGCTCGTCATTTGCAAAAGTTATGCAGATGGCAGAATAATTTACTCTCCAATAGGTATCAGGAATCATTTCGGACAAACCGGCCTCTCTCCAGGAGAGGAGCTAAAGGAACCCACTCCAAATTCTAGAAAAGAGAATACATTTCATACTAACATGCTACCATTTGTTTTTGCATAAACTTCTCCACTAAATTCATCTATCCTGGCAAGGGCTCAAAATTTAACTGATAGGACAAACTTAAAATGAGCAGCATCGCTGACATGATCTCATCTGATTAATTTCCTTTTCTTTAAAATACTTTAAAACAGAACGCCATACATTGTACATAAATGAGAGCAAAGCTATGAGAAAATGGTCAAGACCTTTGGTAGCATCAGTAGCAATCAGCTTTTGTTTTGCCACATACTATCCTGATCAATAATCACAAAACAACTATATATATTGATACCCCTTCCCTATGTTGACAAGAATCTGTTGTTAAGTGAACTAGTTAACCATTTCCTTTTTTTTTTTGTGTTTTTTTAGTAAATGATTAAGTTAATTAGTGAAGCAACTTTCTTCTCATTCTTTTCAAGTCATAAATGAAGTCGGGTTGGGGTGGAGTTGTTGAAGTAGAGGTCTCACACCTTCTCGTCCTCTACTCATAGGCCTCAATTACACCAATCCTGAACTATGTCCATCCAAGTATTCTTTCCCTTATGCTTTCAGACTAGGTTCAAGCTACATCATACCACCTAGTCCCTTTTAATCTTTCATGGCAATCTCTACATTCATAGCTTGAAAAAGTAAAAGAGGGTCCTTTATTAAGAAGAGACGAAGTAAAAGAAGGTTTTTAAGACTCTTCTTGGACTTCCTTTCTTCGGGAATAGGATCTTGTACCTTATTTGTGCAATCTAGAGTTTACCAATATATCCCTGACAAATCATGAAATACAATACAAATTTAAATTGGTAAGCTTCTGGATGTTAGGGAACAATACCCAGATGGGTGTTTGCAAGTACATTTTTTTTAAAAAAAAGACTACATTCCAGCTTTATGAATTAGTAGCAACTTTTGTATCTAAATCCAATACAACTAAAGAAGAAAGCGATTCCAATAACCCTTTTTTTTTTTAATGATTTCACTTTTCTTAAGTCTTAAAATTCTTTTTAACTAGCAAAAATATTTCAGTGAGGTTAAGATAGTACTCATCCAACTTTACCGGCAACATTCTATCCCTTGCAATTGTGAGATAACATAACTGAAATTATATATAGAAAGAAACATGATATATCCATCTCAATATTTGACCTACTTACTATGTAACTCATCCCAGAAGATTAACCTTTTTCTTTAAATGGGAAAAAACGTTTTTGGTGACAAGTAAAGGAATTAAATAGTTCAAGGCCAGAAGCTCCAGAAAGCTATATTGACATATAAGACTGTCACTTTATATTATTTTGAATTTGATATAGCATCTACATACCCATCATATTTTTAAACTATTAGTTTAACATATCTCCAGGAACCCCAGTGTAACAATTCATACAAACTTTCTTTTTTTTGATAAAGTTAAAGTTGTATTCTTCAGCATTAAGGGTATGCTGGCTACCTCCAAAAAGTTACAATCTAAAACCATAATTACATAGATCCTAGGAAATCTACCAACTGTTCTACTTCTTCTATACCATCTTCTTTACACCAAAAAAACATGTTAATGCAATTTTCTTTAACTTTCTGAATAGAGTTAGTAATATTCTCATGACACCTAAGGTTTCTACAAACTTTCTTCTTTTATCCTTGGAGGTCAACCTTGGTTTTCTTTGGTGTAGAGGGAATAACAGATGGAACAATAAGTAGCGAGGCAAATAGATAAATTAATAAGTCATACAGTCCGTACACTCAGGTTTGCCTACAATTACTTTGCAGCATAGAATCTAAATTGGCATCTCAGCCATCATCAGAGACAAGTTTTTTTATCACAAGACACTCCACTACTTGCCTAACATACTGTAGCAGCTTATAGATAATTTAATCGTCTTATTACCACATGGGTACTATGCAAAAGAAAAGATCGGTTTTCATAGTCAACAGATTTGTTTATTTTTTGGCCAATCATAGTCTTTTTCTTCCAAAAATGATACCCGGCCATTTGACACATCTCCCTTTTGAAGCCAGAATTGATTTTCCTTGATACCTAACATAATGCGTGAAAGGATCCCTATCACTCTCATTATTTCAACTGAACAAAGAACCAAATTTCAGATGAGACTCAACAACAACAAACCCAGTGTAATCCCATAGGTGGAGTCTGAGAAGGGTAGAGTGTACGTAGACCTTACCCTTGCCTAGTCATATCCTACCTAATCACCGCACCCCAATACTTCTTAGGCCTATCTCTACCCCTTCTCAAGCCCAAAATCAACAATATCTCACACTTCCTAATTGGGGCATCTGCACCTCTCCTTCACACATGCCTGAACCATCTCAGCCTCACTTCCCACATCATATAAAGACTCGACCTTGCCAAATTGAACCTAAACGAATCTTTGGGATCTTGAAAAGGCATTACACTTCACAGTTACAATGTAACTGGTAAAAACTTAACTCACAGATGTAGATTCCCTCCATGGCATTAGAATAACAACAAAAACAACCACGCATCAACTCCAAACTAATTGGGGTCGGCATATGAATCCTTAACATCCATTCCGCTCCATCCGCCCCGTTTCATTCCAATACTTTCTCTCAATGGCTCTACATTAACCTAAAATTTATCTTAAGTTCAGCAAGATAAATTGCCCCTAAAGCACCTTGTACTTGCAAAAGAAACACAGGAATCCACAAAGTAATACATATAACACCAAACATCTATGAATAACTCTTGCAGAAGTGCAGCCATATAAAGGGAAAAAAGAAACATAAACTTCAAGAAAGAACATGTAATTACTTGGAGACGTGTTACACGGTTGTGAAACCTGAGGGCTGAGATTGTTCATTTTGTTGTTGGCAGAGAAAGCTGCCATGGGGTCAGTGTAGTAGTCAAATCTAGGCCTTGGCTCATCCTTCCCAGAGGCAGCTGAAGGAGTTTCAATCAATGGATTGGTAAGGCCGTGATCAAGGGGTCCTCCAATAGAATTTTGTTCTTCATTGTTATCTCCAGCCTCTGCAGCTTCCTTTCGGATCGCTTTCAGCCTCTCCTTTCTCTTTTCTGATTCCTCCATTCTTTATATCTGAGTTCTTATCAAGAATCCAATCCAAACTATGACTTAACAAAAATTCCCAAAAACTTAAACTTTTAGCCAAATAGGACTAGTGGGTGTGTGAATATGGCAATATGCACATCTATATGTATACACAGATAAAAAGATTCAATATGAACTATTCCATAACCCAAACTACAAAAAATCCAAAAAAGATCCAGTTTTTCGCCCAATAGGCCTAGTGGATGTGTAAATATGAACAAGTATATGTATACACAGATTAAAAAAAAAATCAGTTTTTAGCCCAATAGGCCTAGTGGGTGTGTGAATATGAACAAGTATATGTATACACAGATAAAAAAAATAATCAACCTGAACTATTCCTTTAACCAAAACTACAAAAAGATAATCCCAAAAGCTCCAACCTTTAGCCTAGTAGGGCTAGTGGGTGTGTAAATATGATCATTCTATATGTATACACAGATAAAAAGTTTCAAACTTTTAGCCAAATAGGGATTGTGGGTGTGAAACTGTGAATATGCACATCTATATGAATGCCCAGATGAAAAAATTCAATTTTTAACCAAATAAGGCAAGTGGATGTGTGAATATGCACACCTATATGAATACCCAGATGAATTTTTTTTTTTTTTAACCAAATAAGGCAAGTGGGTGTGTGAATATGCACGCACATCTATATGAATACCCAGATGAAAAAAACTTCAATTTTTAACCAAATAAGGCAAGTGGGTGTATGTATATGCATACCTACAGGCTACAAGTATATTTGGGGGTTTTAGGGTTGGAGGGTGTGCTTGTATGTTGCTGGAAATTTGAAGGTTGAAGTGGAAAGATAGGAGAAAATGTTTCAAATTCCAAGAATCCAATGGCTTTTATATTTGCTCATTCAATTTCCACTTTTACCCTTTAAGATGATGAGAATAACATTTCTGTCCCCCTGTTCCTTCCAGGTGGCTCAAAAGTTTGATGGGTATTTATGGAATTTTTTCAGAGAATAAATACCATGTTCAATTTTTTCCTTCTATAAAAACAAAAACATTGGGTTTCTACTCATTCTCTTCTTTCGTCTTTGGTAATAGCAACAATACCAAAATGGCGAACAACGAGAGCATCAGAAGTATGTTTTTTTTCTCCTTTTTATGTCTTGAATTTTCTTGTAATTTTTTCTTACTTTTCTAGGATCAATTGAATTCAGTGTTTGGTATGCAAATCAAGAAGAAAAAGCCTCAGATTCTTGTTTGCATTTTTATTTTATTTTTGAGTTTTTTGTGCTTGGTGAATTTTGATTTCTGATGAAATTTTTTTGTTAAGAAAGCGCAAGGAGGAAAAAAGATGAAATCTTTGTTAGAGGGGAAAGAAAAATCCTAAGTTTGTTAAGTTCTAAAAGAAGTTAATGGCTAATACATTTGGGTTTAATGGGTAGTTGAGGTATATGGTGATTTGGTGTTTGGTTTGCTTGTTTATCTGTGATAAATGTAGTAGTTTTGAACTGTGTTTGTAGTTTATAAAGATTTAATACTTGATTCAGAAAAACAAAAAGGTATGTATAGCTTTAAGTCTATTTGGGAAATCTAGGTATGTAGCTCTACAGTATTGGATATTTGAGTTGCATTTTCCTCTGGTAATAGGCATTTTGTTCGCCTCTTTCTGTTAAGCTCAACAGATTGTACTGTGTAGCTAATTTACATGAACATATAAATTTCAGCATCTGTATAGGAATTTGTTTGCCCTCAAAGCACCTCAAGTTTCTTTTCCGCCATATAGTCCAAAACATACAACTAGGAATAGTCCTCCATATCATTTTCATCTTCGAATTTCCTTTGAAATACATCCAGCTGTTGATGAGAGCCTTAATGGTTGCTGGAATATGACCCATTTGATCGCAAGGATATTTTGAAAAAGAGATGTCAAAGGTGACCAGCGACCTCAAAAATGAAGGAATAAGTACCTGCTATCCTCAATTCCCTTCCCACAAAGGAGACATCTGCTACATAACTACAAACGTCTTTTCTGTAATTTTTTTGTTTCAACATCCATTATGAGCAATATCCAACTGAAATGCACTATCTTATAAGGTATATTGGCTCCCCAAATTATCTTTAGAGGCCACGAAGGAACTTCCTGCCACTACAGAAAACTTCATAGTATGTACATAGAAAAAGCCATTTCTTTGTCCAGTCCATGGCAAAGAACCCTCATTTTCAGCATCATACCAGACTTAATTCTTACATCTAGTATAACAATGGTCATGATCGTTTAAGTTTGCATTCTACCTTTGTTGGGGCTAGCTAGAGCTTTCTCTTGTTGCAGTGGGAAGTGCTTATGTAAGGGTAGGATGTACGGGGACCTCACCCCTACCTTTGTGGGGTAGATAGGCAAAGTACTTATGCAGTCTTTGATTAATTAATTTGTTTGAATAAGATATCTGATGAGAAGGGATGTTCCTTTGCCCTTTATTTAGGAGGTGTGTTCAAGAGATTTGAGACATATATCCTTGTCTAAATTGCTGAAACTGAAGGGTCATTTGGTAGGGTGTATTAGAATAGTACATGAATAGGATGTATCAGTAATGTTGGGATTAGTTATGCTGGAATTATTTCTTATCTACTGTTTGGTTTTGTGTATTGAAGGGTGGTTCCGTCTTTAACCATGTATTAAGCCCTGGTATTGCTAATACCATGGGTTTCTATATATTAGTTATACACCCTATAATAATGTATACCTATGTTGAAAACACTACCAAACAAGGTATTAAATATTATCAAGGCTAATACATGTACTATTTTCTCTAATATGTCCTACCAAACAACCCCTGCGTGATGTAAAAGATTGGAGTATTCATACAATATCACCCCATTAAAGTTAGTAATTTTGTGCTAAAGACTCAACAAAGGTTGTTTAGCATAGTTCTTTTTTATTACTTCTCTACTTCGTATAATTTTGGATAGGTGCAATTATTTGTTTTTAGACAGGGATGTTAGGGTTTTTTTTTTTTTTTTTTTTTTTTTTGATTTGCACCGGGTGTCCGAGTCTCTTTGAGCCCCGACTAATCCCGGGGGTGCACAGGCCCTCGGCAAGGAGTTTCCCGCAAGTGCACCACGGTTAATTCAGGTTTTACCCAGTTCCGATGGCCCTCAGAAATTGTTTGCACCCAGTGGGTTTCGAACTTGTAGAACAGGGATGTTAGGGTTTTTTTTTTTTTTTTTGATTTGCACCGGGTGTCCGAGTCTCTTTGAGCCCCGACTAATCCCGGGGGTGCACAGGCCCTCGGCAAGAAGTTTCCCGCATGCGCACCACGGCGAATTCAGGTTTTACCCAGTTCCGATGGCCCTCAGAAATTGTTTGCACCCAGTGGGTTTCGAACTTGAGAACAGGGATGTTAGGGTTTTTTTTTTTTTTTGTATTTGCACCGGGTGTCCGAGTCTCTTTGAGCCCCGACTAATCCCGGGGGTGCACAGGCCCTCGGCAAGGAGTTTCCCGCAAGTGCACCACGGTTAATTCAGGTTTTACCCAGTTCCGATGGCCCTCAGAAATTGTTTGCACCCAGTGGGTTTCGAACTTGAGAACAGGGATGTTAGGGTTTTAAAAGAGAGGAAAAGTAAATAAGGACAGTTTCCAATCCAAAATATTTACATAGTCTGATCCACGGGATTTGATGGTCCCAATTGCTGAAATCTCAGACTTGTAGACATATATATATATGTGCATGCCTTCTGTATTATTATTATTTTAAAATTGTTGAAAATCTAGTTCTCTTATCTTTACTTGTCACCTTTCTGCTTTAAAGCTGTCTTTATTGCTTATTGCTTGTTTTATTAACGGCGATGGTCACTTACTATTAAACATATTACAGGTGTGACAAGTTGTTATGTTTTCAAAAGCCGATTGCAAGAGTATGCGCAGAAAGTTGGACTTCCTACCCCTGTTTATGAGACTATCAAGGAAGGCCCTTCTCATGAGCCTACATTTACGTCTACAGTGATTGTGGACAATGTTAGATATGATTCTCTACCTGGATTTTACAATCGCAAGGCGGCGGAGCAATCAGCTGCTGAAGTTGCACTCATGAGTCTTGGAAACACTGGGTCAATGGAAAACCTTTCTCAGCCAGTGGTAATTTGCTTTATCCTTCATCACTTAAGACAAAACAATTGTGCTTCTGCGCTCTTATGCACTATGATCGTAACTGTTCCTGTATTCTAACCAGAAGCCATAGTGTCAAATCTAGCTTGTGCAAATACATATGTTACTTTTCAAGAAAAAATTGGCCATTGTAATCTCTTATGCTACTGTTTCCTCAATAATTTGCATCTTGGGTAACTTGTCCCATTTGAATTTCAATCTGTGGTGGCGGAAGGCTTCACTATGATGGCCAGCATCTTCATGCCAATAACTTACCTAGGCCAGTTCTTAATGATCTTAGTGTTTTGGTGAATGTATAACTTCCATTTTGTGGTGGAATGCCTTATTCGTCATTTTAGTCATCCGAGCTCCTTTCCCCCTCTCCCAGCAAGATATGACAGTTGAGTCTTTGAAGTCCTCTAAATACCTGCAGCAGAAGCTGGTGAGGAATATCGCACAGAGCATAAATATAGGAAATGTTTTTAATTTGCATTCATGTTCCTGGATTTGAAACTAGACTGTTATTGTTACGGTTTGGGAAGCCATTAGAAATAGCTCATGTGTGACTTCCCTGGTTGTGTTAATTAAGTCCACAATGCAATGAAGATATGCTTTAGCATAACTACTCTAACTACCTTTAGGGGTTTATATGTTAGTTTGAAGTGTGTTAGATTGCTTCCTTCGCTACGTATGCAGTATCACGTGGATCCAGCTCTATGGCCTCCAGTGGACCCACATGTATAGGTGGGGTGCACGTGCACCCGTTAACTTCGGAAAAAATCATGCGTATATATGTATATATATATAAATTAAGTGCACCCATAGAAAACATAGAAGCACACCTCGGGCCGCTGGTTTAAGCCAAAGTACCCAACCGTTAAAACGAACCCAACTTGACCACTGAGCTATTATACTCAACTGTTTTAAGAAAGTTAAAGGCTTAAACTTATAAAATAACAAAGTAAAGTTCAAGTATTAGCTTAGAGCTCATGTTTGATCTATATATTTGTATTTAATATTTCTACTATTGTTCAAGCCATTAGTGACCAATTAAATACGACATTATCCCTTAATCGTCATTGAAAGTTTCGCTAACGCCTAAATTAAGATATTAATTGGTGCATGTGCAGTCTTCAAATCCTGGGTTCGCATTTGATGACCTCTACAAGTTTGTATAATAGAGTAAACGTTTGTCTATGAGGAAACTTTAATTATTATTTTTTTAAAATTAGTTTAGTACTTTTGCTTGGTTGTTGTACTGTCAACTTTCAATTTTTCATGTTGTGGAAGTAACAAACCCTTCTATTTTGCATTGTCTGGTGTATTTTTCAGCATGAAACAGGCTTGTGCAAAAATTTGTTGCAAGAGTATGCTCAGAAGATGAATTTTGCAATCCCACAATATGAATGCGAGAGGTATGACTCAGAAAGCAAAATTATATCATTTTCATGTACTGTTGACGTAGGGGGAATGAAATATATTGGAGCAGCAGCTAGAACAAAGAAGGAAGCAGAGATCAAAGCTGCTCGAACTGCATTGTTGGCCGTTCAGTCTAGCGGTTTTGCGCCTAACTATTCTTCATACACTGTTGTTCCAATGAAGAAGGTCACAGATTTGGCAATCAGCAACCAGGAGAGTGCAGCAGCTCTGAAACCAAAGAAAAACAGATTCAAGAAAAAGCAGACGAGGAATGTTTCAGATGCCAGTTATCGTGTACGCACAAAGAACACTGGTGACTCGGAAGTTCAGATGGTAAATCAAGCTAAACCAGAGATGCATGAAAATGCTGCTGTGATGACTCAAGGTACAGGATCTGGACCTGCACCTTTTGCAGGCACTATGGGTGATCTAGTTCCATCCAACAATTTGAGTTCTGATTATGGAACTTCAAATCTTGGAATCAACTCTCAGTGTGGTGGAGGAGTTACGACTGAGGGAAATGCTGTTATTGGAGTTGAGCAGGTAACTTCAGAGTTGGCACCAGTTGCTTGGAATGACAACCTTCATGTACAGGACCTGCCCCTTTTGCATGAAAATGCTGCTGTGATGACTCAAGGTACAGGATCTGGACCTGCACCTTTTGCAGACACTATGGGTGATCTAGTTCCATCCAACAATTGTGGTTCTGATTTTGGAACATCAAACCTTGGAATCAACTCTCAGTGTGGTGGAGGAGTTACAACTGAGGGAAATGCCGGTATTGGAGTTGAGCAGGTAACTTCAGAGGTGGCACCAGTTGCTTGTAACGACAACCTTCATGTGCTATAGATGCAGATCAAGGATGAAGTACAAACATGGAGTCAGAAATATCTTAACATGTTTGTTTTGCAGGATTAGCTATATCAGATGGTGGGTACAAGAACAGTTTAGATTATAGAGAATACATAGGCCGCTCAAAAAAAAATCGCGAGTTGGTTAAGCTTTTCATTGGAACATCCAGATTGAATGGATTGTTGATGGCGTGCTTTCGCCATAGTGTTATAGCTTTTATAGTTACTAGTACATGCCAAATGTGTGGTGTAGTTGGCACAGTCACAGGTGCATAAATCAGTCTTGACATTACTTGGTTTACTTCATTTGCTTGACCATTTGATTTGCTATTTGATGAGGTAACCTGTTTTATGACAATATTTAAGTATTTATGCTGTCATTTACAATTTGAAGAAGCAACATATATAGATATAGGAGCAGTTACCAGTCTTTACTTCATTTTGTTCATCTGTTCCATCTTTTTTATGTTCCATTGATTTGAATCCCACATTCCAGGTAAGCTCATGATCCTTTGGACAAAAACCTTGTGTACTCATAAGTTACGAATCGGGAATTTAAACTCTATGAGTTCAACTTTTAAGGTTTTTAACATTGAACCTTTGTGTTTTTAAAGTTGTGAGTTCATATCTACTCTTTATTACAATTTTAGTATTTTTAGTGAACTTTTATATATAAATTTATACTTCAAAGCGGAAGTACGCAAGCTACATCTGCCACTGTCATTTACTATTATTTTCTTTGGTTTTATGTTTTAATCAATCGTTTCGTCTACTTTGGTTATCGTACTATCTATTGATTTGAGGATCTATTGGACGCATCCTCTTTTCCTTTTCAAGGTAAGAGATAAGGTTATGTACTTGCTACCTTTTCTAAACCCCATTTGTGAAATTTCACCGGAGATGGGCATGTTGTTATTGTTACAACAAGATTGATTGTAGCCTTTAATCATATAAATTTAACATAATAAACGTTAATATTTCAATGAAACTATTTTGTACTCAAGTGAATTTTACCATCTTTTCAAAGATTTATATTTATTTAACATTTTTAAAGTTTAACTTATCACATAAGTGAAATAATATTTGATCTCTTTTTCAATCATCGAGAAAAATCGAAAGAACCGACTAAAGCCGAAGTCGAAAAACCCGACTTTATGTGGTTTGATCTGATTTTTAGATTTAATAAACCGATATAATTGGTTTTTTTAAAAAAAAAACAAATCAAACTGACCTATGTACACCCTAATGGTGTGTATGTAGTCTTACTCCTGTTTTCTAAGTATAAAGAGAGGTTATTTTCTAGATCCTCGGCTTATACATGTTCAAATTGCGAGAAAATCTCAATGCTATTACCTCTTAGAGGCATAATAATAACCGTTTCGTTTAATCTGACCTCAATTGTATCTAAGCTCCCCAAACTTTAGACGTGCCAATTAAACACTTAAATTTATATAAAATTAAACAAATAGATATATTCATTTTACGTGGAATCTTACACGACAATTTTATATCACACGTGATATCATATATGTAATATGTCATGTAAGACATGTGTATCTATTTTAATTTTATACAAAATAAAAATAAAAATTCTGATATGTTTCTTCTTATTCCGATATATGCTATTACACATTCCATATATAAGTTTATATATAAACATTATGTATATACTGCACATATGAAATTAAAACTTTGGAAATGAAAAATCGTTTAATATTTACGCTTGAAACACCACAAAATAAAAGGAAAAAAAAAAACAGAAAATGCTCTACTTTCAATCCTAAACCTATTAGTGTTTTTTAGCTAGAAATTTACAAAGTTAAAACTAAATCATCCTATTATAATATTATCTGTATATATGTGCTTTATATCCATAGGGATAATAAAAGATAAGTAGGGATAAGAGTCTGAAAAATATCTCAATTTTGGTCGGATTGGCTGTTGCGATACTAAACTTTCATGAGGACCTATTACTTCCCTAAACTATTTAATACCATATTTTAAACATATATATTTGTCCACGTGGACATAAAAAATAATGCAAAATTATAAATAGTAATGTGTCCACGTGGGCACATATATACCTTAAAATACACTATTAAATAGTTCAGGGGTAAAAAATACGGTATTAAATAGTCTAAGGAGGTAATAGGTCTTATGAAAGTTTAGTAACGCAACAGCAAATTCGATCAAAGTTGGGGTATTTTTCAGACTCTTATCCCTGATAAGTATGATAACAATAGTTTACTTAAATAAGGAAATTATGTAATTAATCCCTGAGTCTATTAGTTTTTTTTTTTTTTTTAAAGAACCCTAGCATAATCCGCAGTCTATGTGACAGGCTCGACTCAAAGAGGGAAATTGATCTCGATTGATCCGTGTGGAGAACCACCCTCCAAATCAATTGAGTCATTTCAGAGGGACCAAGTTATTATTAGCTATAAAACTTTATTTTATTTACAAACACAGTTAATTCGATGATCCAATAGCAATAAGCCATAAAGTAATAATTAACTTTTTGATCCGAATTCAAATTTAGTCGATCTCCAATAATGTAATTTCAGATCCATTTGTATTAATAGTTCTAATAGATCACAGGCTGCAAGTTTCCTTCATTCAGTCTTCTGAGTCCTCTTTCTCTGTGTGTGAGAAAAAAAGGAAAAATGCACGGAAGACCACGCAAAGCTCCAACTCCAGAAGAGCAAGAAGCTTTTAGTGTCAAAGCTTCCAAATTACGGTCTCTACAATCACAATTTCTCCAATTTCATCACGCCAAAATGTAATTTTTTAAATTTTTTGTGTTCTTGATTTACAAAAAAGATCAAATTTTGATGTTGGTTGATAATTTATTTGTGGGGTTGTTTCAGATATACAAAGGAAGCTTTAGATGTAAGTGCAAAGTTGTTAGAGTCAAATCCTGAGTATTATACTGCTTGGAATTATAGAAAACTTGCTGTCCAGCATAATTTGAATCTACCTGAGGTGGAGAACAATGAGGAGTCTGTTAAGTCAATTCTCGATGAAGAACTCAGACTGGTAAGTTGTTTTTTTTGGATAAAAATGATATCTTTCCAAATGGGTCGGATTGGATATTGAGGATTCATGTATTAGTATTTTCTTGATGGGAGGTTTTGTGGGAAGAGAAAGGAATGCTCAATTTTCTATTCTTAAAAGGGGCTGCTTGTTCTTTTTTTTTTTTGGTTGTTGACATATTTCCTCTTATTATGAATGATGTTACATGTTGTTGCTCTGAAGTGTGTTGAATAAAAATGCTAAAGTTATAGACAAAACCTAATGTGGCTCTTTTATCTGACTGAGTAAGAAGGATTGGGCCTCTGATTGGGCGGAATAACTATAGAAGATTTGTACCTTGACTTTGAATCTTCTACCAAATGGATCTGCGTTGAATGTATAATGAAACTTCAATTATATTTTAACTTATATGTTGTGCTCTGTGTTGTCAAAGGCGCGCTTAAGGTGCAAAACACGTTGGCGCTTTAGTGTTGTCATCCAGGCGCTAAGGCATACTTTTCCTTGCCAATGAGTGTAATCCTGATGGTGCGACACCGAACAATTGATATTTCACTTTATCCTGATCTTTTCTTCATTTTTGTTGTCCATATATTTGTTATTCATGCTTATAATTAGTTGTCTTGAACTACACATTTATATTTGCATTTTTTCCCCTCCATTTAACGCCCCACAATATTTGCTCTTCCGCTTAAAACTCCAATGGACCTTAATCTTTTTTTGTGTTGTTTGCCTTTGATAACATTGTTCTTAGGTGGTTTAACTAAGAACAAAGCTTGTTATCATAAGCAATTAATTTTTTTGTGTGGTTGCCTGTGATTCAGCTAAAGTTTTGCATGTTGATTAGGTAGAGAATGCATTAAAGAGGAATTTCAAGTCTTACGGAGCATGGCATCACCGTAAGTGGGTGTTGAGCAAAGGGCATTCTTCCACAGACAGGGAATTGTTGCTTCTGGGTAAGTTCCAGAAGGCAGACGCCCGCAACTTTCATGCATGGAATTATAGAAGGTGATGACCTGGATTAAGTTGAACGCAAATTACTGGACTGTTGCATTCTGCCTAACACTTCTTTTTGGCAACTCTTTCAGGTTTGTCACAACATTAAAGAACATACCAAATGAGAAGGAACTAGAATACACTACCGACATGATATATGATAATTTCAGCAACTATTCTGCTTGGCACAACCGCAGGTATCTATTACTATTTCTTTTTGGTTCACTCTCGTTAGACCTATTTCCTGAGTAGAAAAACTTCTCTAGGTTGAGATTGTGTTAATCATGCTGCTCTTGTACAAAAACTAAAGTCACTAACATACTAAGAAGGCAAGAAGACAGTCATACCCCTCGAAGAAAAAGTTATGTTATTTTTAACAAATGGAATGCTAAACATGTAGCTCCATCCCAGTTATCAAACCTCCATATTTAGACAGGTCATTGTCACATATTCATGCCCTTATCATGTGTTGCAAAAGTGTGGATAAGACTTCATCTTTTGGCGTATTTGATGGACAGATATACAACATGATGTGTCATAGCATGTCTCTAGTAAGCACATTGATATGAAAATTCTATTGGTTTAAGAGCCCATAGTTTCATAACTATGTTATTTTATGGGCTCCAAGATGCACTCGTCGTTTAAAAGTAAGTTAATAAGTATCACATACCATTTTAGCTCATGAGGAACTCTTATTCTGACCTATATTCTACTACGTTGTATCTCTTATCTCTTCCAATGGTTCATCTCCCCATAATGACTCGTATACAGTGTTCTTCTTTCTCATCTGCTGAAGGAAAAAGCAAAAGGATATTGTCCCAAGGACAATGTATTTACAGAAGAGTATGAGTTTGTGCGCCATGCTCTTTTCACAGATCCAGATGATCAAAGTGGTTGGTTTTATCATCTGTGGCTTCTTGATCAGACAGTTAAACTAGAGACATTGTTGGTTTCTTCATGGCCACCACATGGCAGTAATCTTTCCTTATCCGTGGATGGATCGTTTGGAGATTGCTCTTTATCACCCTTTACCAGTCTTCAGACTAATACTAGAATACTTCCACTTGTTCTCTATTTCAGCGAAGCTGTTGAGAATGTATGTTCATCTACAGTAGTAATCGAATGTGAAAATATTGCGAGTAATGAGCTCGTTTGGAGATCACTTTCAGGAGATGGAACTGGGTCTGCTCAAGCTTGGTTGACATATCTTAATTTTCCAGAGGAACATGCACATTCTGAAAAGGCTTACCAAGTAAAGGTCAGCCTTGCTCGTTCTCAAGGCATTTTCTCTTCAACTGGCGTTCATCATGGAGATTCTTCTCATATTGAATTTTCAGTGTCTGTACCACCTTATCGTTCAGAACATGTTGATTTGAAAAATGAAGGGAAGATCTCTTGGAGTGATGAA